AGTGGGGGATGTGCTAGTGACTTATCCGACCGGCCCACTTCGGTACCGGCCCATCGGGCCAGTCCGCCACTGCACCCAGCCCAGCCCACGTAAACGGTCAACGGGGGGAGCCTCGCTGCGGGGAAACGGTAGACCTAGTGTCCCGATCGGAGTGGGAATAATAATAATAATAATCCGTGCATTTTATCCATTAATTCCCCAACATTGTGGTAAAGAAACCACACGTTTAATCCATGTTGGTGTACTACAACTACAAAAAGCATCGGTTTGTTTTCTCATCAGGAAATGCAGACCGGCTCAAACAAACGATTTTTAAATCATCTTCCTCACGATCATTTAATGTATCATATGTTCGCCGAATTGACATGAAAGCACTAATAAATGTAGTTTCATCCACTTGAGTTTAAAATTACAAAAATAATCGATTTGTTTTTATACCACATCCTACGGGAGGAAATTCAGCAGCTCTCACTACCGATCTTAATTGAATCATCTTCACCACGATCATTCATGTTTATGTTCGCCGAATTGACATGAAAGCACTGACAAATATGAATATACTGTAGTCAACTTCATTAAAACGTTATTAACGTGCCTAAACTCAGTAATTCACCATTTCTACGCATGACAACACACTTTGTCCGTGTTTGGTTCTCTCGCCGCACAGTGAAGCGTTCCCGCATTGACGTCACTTCCGGCTTCCCCCAAAACCTCAAAATGAGTCGAAGGAATTTCCCCGCGATGTTCGAAATTATTGATATTTATCGGAACGGTATCGCACCTTCTTTTTTAAACTGACGCTTCGAGATTACTAGTAGCCCAATATTTCATTGCACAACAGTTGTTGGGAGGCTGTCGTGTCACAGGCTCTTTAAAGTCAGTACTAATCTGTTTACTAAGATTTGTTGGTACATGAAAGCAAACAGGTCTCAAGTGGAGGGCTTACCTGTAGTGTGATGTGCCACAGCCTTGGCCAACATGGTCTTACCACATCCCGGAGGTCCGTACATAAGGACACCCCTGGGTGGGTCAATGCCAATCTGAGAAAGGAAAAACAGTTGTTATTATTAAGAGCAAAATCCATGCTAGTTGGTGTTACGTGTAACATTTCTTGAATATCTGACCTGTTTGTAGAGCTCAAAGTGTGTGAGTGGCAGCTCTACAGCTTCTCGGACTTCCTGCTTCTGAATATCCATACCACCAATGTCAGCATACATCACATCTGGCTTTTGGTCTGGGAGCAGAAACACAGCAAAAAGGAGAGTTGGCTTTGCTATTCGAACAATCAACTTCATACAAAATATCAGTCAAATCCCTGAATTCTTGCTTGGCTGAAAATGATAATGTATCTGCTTAAAAGTAAGAATGATGACATCTTGGAGAGAGTGGCAGTGAGTGTTTTACCTGACGTCAGCATCATGATGCTGCTGTCAGCCTCGGGGGGGAGCACATCCACCAGGGCGTTGCTGTGCTTGTGTAGAGCCACTGAGGCGTTGGGCTTCAGCAGCTCTCTGTCGATGGTGCTCAGGATGCGCACATAGTAGTTGGACCCTGAGGGAAGAACAAATATGATATATAAAATGAGAACAAACAGAACTCATTACACATTTAAACGTGTACTTCACACTAAATAATTTAAATTTGACAACACAGTACATCTCCTCTAGGTTCTCTCTCAAGGCTCAGAAAGCCTAACATGATAAAGCATTCAAATATACAGCATGGACGAATCCTTCATCATTTCATTCTACGTCAGTGTCTGCTTTTTCTCTTTATTTATTTTCACTGTCATTATTTGTTTGTTTTCTATGCATACAATCTTTTTTGTTGTTGTTCATCTTTCAGAAACGTAATGACAGTAATAATTGAATTGCTCTTCAGTGCAGAAAATACCGCCGTGACCTCAAGCTTAAAGGTGACCTCATGCAAAATGCACTTTTGTACCTCTTTTATACATGAATATGTGTCCCCGGTGTTCCAGGGAACTCACCAAGTGTCAGAAAACACAACCCTCTCTATTTTCCTCCAAACCCAAATCTCTTAAAAAGGGGCTGCAACGGATCTGATACAGACTGATCCAGATTTGAACACTTCTATGACGTCACAGAAGTGGCGCTACGGCTATTGGGTCAACTCCACCAATCAGGAGGAGACAGCCACGGACATTGCCGTTGGAAAGCGCTGGAGACGCTGTAGTACATATGCCAGGCCTGTAGATGGTGCTGTTCTCACAGAATCAGCCCATGCAAAGACAGTGTTAAATTGAGCGAAATGAGGAATGGCTAAAATGCATGATCTGTTTGATATTTTGAAAAATAAAAAGTATAAATATGCCTTATATAGGTATGGTCCTACACTATGTTATTCACATATAGCATGATAGGTCCACTTTAATCAACATATTTTATTAACCGTTGATATGGTGAGTCTCCTCTTTGTTGTGGCCTCTTGAGTCATAACACATTTAATGGTCAAAACAAACTAGTTGAC